CACGCCGCTTAGGTCTCTGATTGTGCTCATAAAGGGCGCGCTCACTCGCACTTGGACCCTCAATTTCTTCCCAAATCTCGCATTCCTGACAGCTCCACGCACTTCTTGGAGCCCCGTCCACCTCTCTACGGATACTCGTGCGACAAGGGCAACCGCCCCGATCTGGCTCGTCGAGGTCCGCCTGAACAAACCTGCCAACAGGCCAAAAAGTCTTCATCTACTGCGATATCTTCGTAAGTAACCTCCATGTGAGATGCGTTCCCATCATTTGCAGCGTAGCTGACTCTCTGGCCTGCAGCATCACCCACATCATCTTCCTCGCTTTCTTTTGTTCGCCAAATATGACGGACAGATCAGATTCAGTCACTTCGTCCAAGGACGCCTCCGACGCGCGCGATGGCACAACTCACAGCCACGATGCGGAGAAAGACATCGAGATGCAGGGGCAGGACGTTATCGAGCCGGAGCCAACCGTCAAATCTCCCACAAATATCAACTTCGGGCGAATCGGTGACGATGCTGCTGCCAGGAGGATGAAGAGGGAGAAGACACTCGAGCGACAACACTCGATTGGCTCGCTGGGTCGACCGGCACCCAGAGGTGATCCAAATGCGAGGTTGGCCATGAACTACAGGACCATGAGCCTGGTGATGTCCACTGGTGGACTCGCCGACGCACCACAAAGACATCGAAAGGGAGAACGCAAGACGCTCAAGGACTTTAGCAATCTCGAATGGCACAAGTTGTCAGTAGAGGACGTCCTTCATCGACTTGGCGTCTCACCGGCTGGTGGCCTTGATGCGGATCAAGCCAAGAGACGCATCTCACAATACGGTCCCAACAGGATGAGCAAGCCTCAAAGCCAACTTCTTCGCAAACTCTTTGGCTATGTGTTTGGCGGATTTGGTTCTCTCCTAATTGGCGGTGCGATCATATGCTTCCTCGCCTGGAAGCCCCTAGGAAACCCGAATCCCCAAGCGTCCAACTTGGCTCTCGCCGTTGTCCTTCTGATTGTGGTTGTGCTC